CTCTCTTGTAAAACCTCTAATCTTCTGGCGCTCATATGACCTTATGCAGTTGCGAGCGCCGTAAAACCTCTACTAAAACTAAAACTAAAGACCCGAGCAGACCCGAGAACACTCAGAAATCTTCTCGGCTTTCCGGGACGCTCACAGTGTAAACTGTGATTTGAAAACTCTCTAAAACGATCAAACTGACAAGATCTTGCGATGTATGTCACCAGGTACCCATTCCGACCTAGGTTAAGTGAGGGGAATTTGCCTTTCCCCAAGGACACAACCTCGGGCCTCTGACGGACTTTGAACTCACAATCTTACTGATAACCACTAGGCCAACGACTCCAAATTCAGAAGTGGACAGGTGCCCAACGATGAGATGCTTCGTGAAGGCCTGAACATCCCTTACAAAGACTAACATGTGGCATCGTGATTAAATCAGGCGCTCGTCAAAGTAAAAAAATTGAACAAACGTTTTTCGGCTCGTTGAGCAATTTTTATCGAATTTTTTGTTTTGATCTCAACGCATGTTTATGCCTGTTTAAAAACATTTTCCTGTGTGGATTTAAAAGGAAAAGATTGAATAGTTGATTAAAAAAACAAAAAAACAAAAACAAAACAAAAACTACAAAAACCCCAACAACAACGTAAATTTGTACTTTCCAAGGACACTACACCTTTGGAAGTAATCAAACTTTGGGGGCCATTTTCTCGGTATTTTTACATCTGACAACATGCGACCCCTCCTTCTTCAAAAATATCTCGACTTCTTTTCTTGATCGACGTTTCCTTTTCCTTTTCATAAGCAAGACAAGTGAACAGTATTTAAGATTATACTAACAACTTTGTATGCCAAACAATTCACGAGCACCTGGTTCCACCGTGACGTGACACCGATCACAAATGACGAAGTGAACATCGGAATTACATGTAGCTGTAGAGTGTAAGTCAGTGGGCTATACACGACAACAGAGAAGCAACTTAAACTTCAGAGGTACGCACACGGACACATTCCACCTCCACAAGGGTGTGCCAAGACAACCCTGCATGACACAAAACAAGAATAGCGAATGAGAGGGAAAGGACAAGAAGAGGTGGGAGGATAGCATGCTAGAATGGATAGGTTTGAAGCTGAGCGACTGGGACAAACACAGTTTTGTAACAAGAATGTTGTTTGTTTTGGTAAGTGTTTTACGGTTCTCGCAACTGTGTAAGGTCATATGAACGCGCAAAACACATTAAGCATTTTCAGTTTGGTAGGAACTAATTTTGAATTTTGCCCGGGCGGCGGCTGAAGCCTTCTGTTATCGATTTAAGGACCACCAAGTAAGGGATCTTCAACGTGCGCAACTTGCACACAGGACCTCTGAGATTTTTTGGCCCTTATCCGAGAAGACGAGGTGCTAGATCTTACCTACCCTAAGTCAGGAGTACAGAGGAAAAGAG